CCTTCCCTCCCCTCCTTGGCCTCCTCCTTGTTCCCCTGGCCTCCTCCTTGTCCCCCTGGCCTCCTCCTTGTCCCCCTGGCCTCCTCCTTGTCCCCCTGGCCTCCTCCTTGTTCCCCTGGCCTCCTCCTTGTTCCCCTGGCCTCCTCCTTGTCCCCCTGGCCTCCTCCATGTTCCCCTGGCCTCCTCCTTGTTCCCTTGGCCTCCTCCTTGTCCCCCTGGCCTCCTCCTTGTCCCCCTGGCCTCCTCCTTGTTCCCCTGGCCTCCTCCATGTCCCCCTGGCCTCCTCCATGTCCCCCTGGCCTCCTCCTTGTTCTCCTGGCCTCCTCCATGTCCCCCTGGCCTCCTCCTTGTCCCCCTGGCCTCCTCCTTGTCCCCTGGCCTCCTCCATGTCCCCCTGGCCTCCTCCATGTCCCCCTGGCCTCCTCTGCAGGGCCAACTGGAGACTGGTCTTCCAAGGGCTGCTCCACGGAGCCCGGAGCCAAGGGGACCGTCTGCCGCTGTGACCACCTGACCTTCTTCGCCCTGCTGCTGGTAACGGCCCACTCCACTCTGACCCCACAGTCCCGGAGGCTTCCAGCTCCTGCCCCGGGGCGGGGGTGGCCTGGAGAGCCCAGGGCCTTTGGGGTGGTGGGCCTGGCCTGCAGCTGATCTGGTCCGGGTTCGGGGTTGCCCACAGAGGCCCGTCTTGGACCAGGCCACAGCGAAGGCCCTCAAGCACATCTCCCGGGCGGGCTGCGGAGTCTCCATGGTCTTCCTGGCCTTCACCATTGGCCTCTATGTCGCCCTGAGGTGAGTGACCTCCCACCTCGCCCCACATCTGCCTCCTGCCCTCGAGGAGGCAGCAGGACAGGGTGGAAAGCACCTTGGTGTGTGGCCTTTCACCGATGTCCTCTGCACCCCTCGACTCCTCCCCTGCAGTCAGGTGGGGGTGGCGGCGTCGGGAACACTTCAGGGGCGAGGGCAGAAACCCAGCTCGAATCGGCTTAAACATAACAGGGAACGTGTGGTCCGCGTAAGTGAAAACCTCAAGGCACATGGACTTCAGGCAAGGTTAGATCCAGGGCCTCAAGATATCCCAGGACTTGGTCTCCCTCGGCCTCTCGTGGCTTTGCTTGGCCTTGATGGTCACATCGGGCAGCCCCTCCGCTTCCGGGGGGCCCTGGGGGCTCTGGGCTTGCATGGCAGCTCCGTAGCTGCTCAGGCAGAAACTGAAGCAGTCTCCTCTTTGCAAGCATTCTAAACTCTATCCCAGAATGGAGGGTTTTAAAAAAACATTTTGTCTTGAAATAATCACAGATAGAAAATTGCAAAAATAGTGCAGAGTCATGTTGTCCCCTCCCCCAGCTCTCCCCAGCAGAGACGCTTCTATAACTGTAGGGCAGTGTCAAAGCCAGGAAGCTGGCGGGGCAGCACTGTGGACAGGAGTGCAGACCTTGTTCAGTGTTCACCGTATTTTACATACGTGTGTGTGTGTGTGTGTGTGTGTGTGTGTGTATCAACTTCTGCAATTGTGTCCCATGCACATAGCAGAGTTGACTTTTATGGCCTAACCTGGCCCGTGTGCCATGCCTGACGGGGGCCCTGTGGCCAAGGGAGGGGCTACACTGACCAGCCGGGCCAGGCCACGCGTCTGCTGTTGCGTTTGCGCTTGCGCTAACAAAGGGGCCTGCGAGGTGGCTCACGCCTGTAATCCTAGCACTCTGGGAGGCCGAGGCGGGAGGATCGCTCAAGGTCAGGAGTTGGAAACAAAGCACCAACTGCCACCGCCACCTGCCTCCAAGCGTCACGGTTGAGAGTGGGGAAGGGTGTTATTACTCAGGGAAACTTGGGGCTCTTTCCAGCAGCGGGGGAGCGGGTGTGCGGCAGGCAGGAACAGCAGAGAGCACTGCAGCCTCGCTCGCCTGGGCTCAGGCCATGGATAAGGGACCCGCGGGACCGCCAGCTTGAAGGAGCCCGGGGATCGGCCCCTGCCCCGGCCTGCCCCATCACCGCCTCCTAGAGGTGTCTTGCCCAGCAGCCCTTGGGCCTCCTGCCCTCCGTCCAGGGCTGTCCTCTGTCCCCTCCACATGCCTCTGTGCCTCCGTCACCATCTGAGGTGGGCTGCAGCCCCCACGAGCCCCACCCCCCATCAGGGACCAACCCGTGAGGGTAAGTGGGGCCACCCCACTCCACACCCCAAGCCCCAGGACACGGCCCCGATCCCCAACAAGCCGAGCAGGACTTGCCAGCGGGCCGCGTGGTTGGACCCTGTGAGCTGGGCTTGGAGTTGTCACCAGCTCCCAAGGGTGGGGCCTGGCATCTCGGGTGGTGGGGACATTATCCCTATGTCCCCTCCAGGCAGCCTGGGTTCCTATCCCTTGGGTGAGAGCCTTTGGGTCTGATTTGCTAAGAATTCAGAGTGGGGGCTGCACAGAGAGGGAGGGGAGCCTGGGAGAGCACTGGGCAAGGAGTCTGGAGCCAGGGTTGGAGCCCCTGCCCGGCCCTGTGACTCTGTGAGGGTCCCTGTCCCCCTATGAGCCTCCCTGTCCCTACTACACACAACCCTCTGTGCATGCCTCACGCACGCACCTGTCTGTCTGTCCCCGCAGCCGGGATTCCACAGCCCCACCACTGTCAGGCCGAGCTCACAGCGTGGGTGGGGACATGATGGGGCAGGGCAGAGAGTGACACGGCGCTGTCAGAAGCTCCCAAATCAGCCCGGGCTGAGGCCATTCAGAGACAGCCTCCCCAGAAGGAAACATCCAAGCAGGGTTTTGCAGGCAGAGCAGGAGTCCGGCAGAGAAGGCGGGAGGAGCAGGGAAAGGCATTGAGGGCAGAGGGAAGAGCGCGGTGGAGTCCGGGAGGTGTGCAGAAGCAGGATGCATCCGGGGACTTGCACGGCACGCAGACTGGCCGCTGCATGGAGGCAAGGCCTGAGGCTGCGGATCCCGGTGGGCAGGCCGTGAGAAGGCTCCTGGACTTGAACCTGAGGATGCTCACGCTCTGGCTGCTGGCAGGGTGGGAGCTGGAGGGTCAGGCAGGAGCTGGCAGGGGCGTGCAGAGCCACAGGCTGGCGGGGCGGACAGGCCTGGGTGCCCCGTGGGAGCTGTGGCCTCTCATTTCTCGCCCCAGGCTGTCTCGGCAGAGGTTCAAGTCGGAAGATGCCCCCAAGATCCACGTGTCCCTGAGTGCTAGCCTGTTCCTCCTGAACCTAGTCTTCTTTGTCAACTTGGAGAGCAGCTCGAAGGTGTCCGATGCCACCTGCGGGGCCCGGGGTGCCGTCATGCACTACTTCCTGCTCTGCGTCTTCACCTGGATGGGCCTGGAGGCCTTCCACCTGTACCTGCTGGTCATCAAGGTCTTCAACACCTACTTCGGGCACTACTTCCTGAAGCTGAGCCTGGTGGGCTGGGGTAGGTGCTGGCGGCGGGCAGAGGGGACAGCTGGCCCCGAGGGTGCGGACAGGGAGACGGCCTCAGGGACGGAGAAGGGGCCCCGGGGCTCGGGGGATGGCAGCTGGACCGATGTGGAGGAGCACGTGCCCAGGGAGCCCGCGATGCCATATCTCGTCCCTGGCGCCAGGCCTGCCTGCCCTGATCGTCGTCGGCGCCGGGAGCGCCAACAGCTACGGCCTCTACGCCATCCGCGACCTGGAGAACCGCACCTCGCTCGAGCTGTGAGTGGCGGCTGGGGCGCAGGGGAGGTAGCGAGTTCCCGGCCTCACGTGTCGGGGCCGGAGGGAGGTGGGGACAGGAGGGAGTCCCAGGAAGGGAGACCAAGTATGTCAAGGCCAGATCCTCAGATGCAGCCGGCTCATGGCACAGAGGGGTAAACTGAGGCCTGGAGAGCGGAAGTGAAATGAGAGAGGTAGCCGGAGAAGGGAGAAGACCTGGATCCAGAGGCGGGATGCCTTACTCTCGACAGGGCCAACTCTCGCCCACGTGGCACCTTTGGGCCAGGTGGAAAAGGTTGTCCCCTGCCCACCCCAGGTGCTCGGCCTGGTGAGTGGGGGACACGCTGCACTTCAGCCCCCACCTGCCCCTCCACCAGGTGCCCTGTGTAGGCCACACCTGCCCAGTGGCTCCAGCAGCCCTGGGTCTAGCCCCAGCTCTGCCCTTGACCGCTATGTGTGTGTGACTTTGGCAAGCCCATCCTCTTCCAGGGCCTCAGTCTCCTCATCTGCACAATGGGGGTGCTGAGCGACAGGCTCCCTCAGGCCTCCTGCCCTGCAGTGCAGGGGGGTAGTGGAGCTGAGCTGAGCCTCCAGACCCCACCCGGTGATCTCCCAGGGTGCCCGCCACTGTCCCCTTGGCTCTGTGCTTAGAGGGGCTGGCAGGGCCTTGGGCCTGTCCCCAGAGCCCCTAAAGCAGGGGCCACGGGAGCCTGGGAGGTAACATAAGTGCACGCGGTGGGCCAGGTGGGGACGGTGGTGGGCGGGCAGTCACAGGCCCATCTGATGGGCAGCCCGGGCGTGCACAGAGCTGCCCGGGGGACGGTTGAGTAAGAGGAGCACAAATCTGGACCGGCGTGCCAAGTCTCCCGATTTTGAAGGGTGGGCCAGCCACTAATTCAGTTTGTTCACAGCATAATGTGGAGCAAGTGAATCATGTCCAGGGTCTCTCTGGCCCCGTTGCAGCACGAGTCTGAAGAGGCCGCAGACCAGAGGCTGTCATGGCCCCTGCCTAGCAGGAGTGCAGGGGACGGAGGGGCAGAAATGGGAGGAGGTCACGAAGGGTCACCTGGGGGACTCTGTGGGGCGTGCTGGTCGGGGTCCCTGTCTCAGTCCCACCGGCCACCCACCTCCTCCAGGTGCTGGTTCCGGGACGGGACAGCCGTCCATGCCCTCTACGTCACCGTCCACGGCTACTTCTTCAGCACTTTCCTCTTCAGCGCCGTGGTCCTGGCCCTGGTGGCCTGGAAGATCTTCACCCTGTCGAGCGCCACGGCGGGCAAGGAGCGGGGGCAGAACCGGAAAGGGGTGCTCACGGTGCTGGGTGTCTCGAGCCTGGTGGGCGCGACGTGGGGGCTGGCGGTCCTCACGCCCCTGGGCCTGTCCACCGTCTACGCCTTCACGCTGCTCAACTCGCTGCAAGGTGAGGCGGGCGGTTTGCAGGAAACAGGGTCCCCCCGGGCCGGCCAGGCCGAGGGTGCGGATGTGAAACATCCGGGGCTCCCTCAGGGATCCCAGGCAGCTCGGGCGGCTGTGTTCATGACAGATGCCACCAGGACCGGGAAAAGCCACCCAAACCATAGCAGATCCCTGCCCCATCTTTCTCTCGGGAGCTGTGTGTGTCTCCATCTAGCCGTGGAAGCTCCCTTGTTCTTTCCCTGCTTGCCTGTCACTCCCCAGACCCCCAGTGGCCGCCCACCAGGGCCACCTTCCCCCTACGTGAACTTCCAAGTCAGGTGCCCCTCTCTGGTCCCATCAGCTGTGACCAGGAGTCAAGGTCAGGTGATGTGATGTCCACATGGCACTGACGGAGCCTCCAAGGAGCTGTGGAAGCAGAAGGGAGTGATCGCTATGGCTGTCACCTGCCCCCACAGGGCCCTGCCTCTGAGGCCCCAGCAAAGGGGGAGGGGCCCAGGGCATGGGTCACACTTTCCTCTCTATTGGCTCCTCACACCCCATTCACATGCACGGCGCAAAGAGGTGTCACAGCCTGCCTGTGAGTTTAATGGCCAAGAACTGAGTGACAAGGCTCAGGCCACCCAGGGGAGTCTAGGAACCCAGGCATCCTAGATACAGTGGGTGCAGGGCCCCAGGAGACTGGGCAGCTTAGTGGTTGGGGCCAGGCAGCCCAGGGCCCAAACCCCAGCTCCTTCCATCCTCACTCTAAAGTCCAGATCGCCCTAGTACTTAGCTCACCAGATTTCACGATGAATAACTGTGTTAAGGCACGTGTGCACCAGCATTCTTCCATATGTGGGAAGTATATTAATAACAATAGAAATCATTACTGTTAGACCATCTGAGACTGTCCCCAGCTGAGGAATCATAAGTCCATGCCTGGAACATCCCAGGGATTATAAGCGCTGGGGAGAGATGCACCTTGAAATTATAGATTGTATCTCTGGTCTTTCAGAGGTTGCCTGAATATTTAAGCCTGCACACTTCACTCCGAGTTAAGTTCCAACTGAGCCTGAGTTATTCAGTATTTCTATCTTCCTCCTAAACACAGCAGAGCCCTTGATACACTTCTACTGCCCATTGAACTCTTTGCAGTATTTTTATTGTTACGTAGAGTTCTAGTTATACATTCTCCTGAAACACACACAAAGGTTTTATTTCTCAGTCACTCTCTGTACTTACTAGAATTTCTTGTACTCCATACTTTCCCTCTTCTTCTTGCTGAAGCGCATCCTGCAGTAACCCTCTACAGAGGTGGTGGTGGTGGTGGTTTTGTGTGTCAGAAATTTCCTTTATTTTACTTTTCTGTGATAGATGTATTTTACTGCAAGATCTCTGTTTTTCATTTCCAAGATTTCTGTTTGGTTCTCTTGCAGGGGTGGGTTTCATTTGTGCCTGACTTTTTCAGGAGTACCCGAGCGGCGGTTACCGTGGCGCCATTTCTCCTCTCCTCCCCGACAGGTGTCTTCATCTTCTGCTGGTTTGCCACCCTCTACTTCCCAGGCCAGAGCTCCACGGCCTCCTCCTCCGGCACTGGCCGAGTGGACCGGGCCCAGTCCACGTCTCACGAGTAGGACGGCCCAGCCCTGCGCCTGGACTCAGCTCTGACGCTCTGCGGGGCCTTGGGCGGCTCCCTGCCTCCCTCGGGGCCTTGCTTTCCTTCTCTGAGCAGTGTGGCTGGGGAGGGAGGAGATGGTGACCAGGTTGGACCACGTGGCCTCAGAGGTCTGTTCCAGATCTTTCCATGGGTCTGGGAGCCCACACACGCGGGTTTGCAGCAGTCTGAAATCCCTGTAGTCGTGACGCCCCCCCGCCAGCAAAGCGCGACATCTTCACCCCCACGTCTGCCCCAGTAGCGAAGCCACTCTTCCGTCCGTCACCCACCTTCTGGTCTCAGCGAGGGCCTGAGCCCAGAGCCGGGGTCTGCCGTCGGTGCAGCCCCCGGGGGAGCCCCAGCCTCTCCCCTCCCTCTCTCGTCACTGCCCTCCCACACCGCCCACTGCCTGTACTCTCCAGGGGCGTTCAGGGGGTCATCGTCCCCTCCGGCACTGGGGGCAGCCTGCCCCTGGTTTCTGCCCATCCCCTCAGAGCCCACCCTCGCGGAAGAGACCCCTCCGTTCGGAGTGCCGCCAGCCCCCAGGTGCCTGGGGATGCTGACTCTTCGCCTCCAGCGAGACCTCACTGCCCGCTCTGACTGCCACGTGGGCGGCCCAGCCTCTGACCTGCTGTCCTCGTGGAGGGAGAACGCACATGGTCCTGGGGGGTGGGGCAAGGGGCGAGGTGGGGGGGGCTCTCGGAGCAGAGGACGGGCATTTCCGCCAGAGTCTGAGCTCGGACAGAGCAGGGACCTGGACGTCCCCACCCGCCGTCCCAGCCCGGCCAAGCGCAGGCCCTGCACCTGGCACGCACGCCCTGAATAAATATCTGCTGGCGAATGAATGGCTGTCTGAGCTTGGCCCCACCTGGCAGGGCCCCCAACCAAGGGAGTGTCCCCAGCCAGACCCGGGTTGGGCACGGTGCTTCCAGCCGAGGGGCCTCCGTGTCCCAACTCTCCGGGGCCTCACCCCACAAGCTCAGCCTTGACTTACCCACCACGCTCCCTTCCCAGCCCCCCGCCCCTTTCCAGCTTTCCAGGGTGCCTAGTGGACTGTCCAGCACTTTCCACAGGAGGGAAGTTATGTGATCGTTGGACCCTCCCCGCCAGCCCCCAAAGCGGTGGTCTCAGCCCCCCCCCCGACGCCAGCGCCGAGGCTGGAGTGGGTGCTCCCTGCTTCGCCCCCCACCCCCCACGAACAGTCGGAAGACAGGAAGGAGGGCCTTGGCTTCCTCCCTGGAAAGGAAACCTGGGGTGTGGACATTGCATCAGTTGAGCCACGTGACCAGTTTTGTGGACAGACATGGTACGTTCGGTGGCTTATCTTCACAGACATCTGTCTATCTTCACAGACATCTGTCTATCTTCACAGACATCTGTCTCTGCCAAAGGCCCTGTTCCCCTTTCTCCAAGTCCAGCGTTAGCGACCTGAGTAACAGTGGCCCCGCTGGCCAACAGGCCCGGGTTTAAATCCTGGCGGTGCTACTTAGATGCTCGGTGACCCTGGCATGTCACCTCTGTGAGCCTCAGTTTCCCCCTCCATGAAATGGGGGTTATAAAGTCCTTGTGTCATCCTGACAGCATTAAGTGAAATGATGAAAATAAAGTGCCCAGCACTGACTCGGCAGCAGCTCGCTGGCTCTTGAGTCCCTCTTGGTTTAAAGCAAGACCAGTAGAAGGTGCTGGAATGAGGAAAGGGAGGCCCAGACAGGCCCAGCGACCTGCCCAGCCAAGGCCACCCTGCGAGCTGGGCTGTAGCTACGGCTGGACCCCCCTGGGTTGTGGACTTCTCATCCTTCCAGAGCATTCCCTGGGTTCAGGAATTATCACCTGGTCCCCACCCCAGTCTCAAGGGAAACCCTGGGCGGGAGCTCCCCCAGACTGCTCGGTGGCTGCAGGGCCATAGCCCCCGACTGGGGGGGTGTCCTGGCACCATTGCCGAGCGCAGACGGCAGGTGTGGCCAACATGGGGGTGCTCACCTTTCCCAGCTGGCTCTTCACCCCAGGGCCAGGCAGGGGCTGAGGGGCTGGGGTTCCGCACTGCCTAGCGTCACTCGAAAAGCAGTTCCAAGTGCCACACTGAGCACCTGTGCTAAGGCCAAGAGCGGCTATGGCAACAATACACCCCAAAGCCTGGAGCAGGTGGACATTGACTAGCAATAAGAGCAACCTAGGAGGTGTGACATCACCATGGTTAAGAATGCAGACCCCAGGCCAGGCGCCGTGGCTGACGCCTGTAATCCTAGCACTCTGGGAGGCCAAGGCGGACGGATTGCTCGAGGTCAGGAGTTCGAAACCAGCCTGAGCAAGAGCGGGACCCTGTCTCTACTATAAATAGAAAGAAATTAATTGGCCACCTAATATATATAGAAAAAATTAGCCGGGCATGGTGGCGAATGCCTGTAGTCCCAGCTACTCTGGAGGCTGAGGCAGGAGGATTGCTTGAGCCCAGGAGTTTGAGGTTGCTGTGAGCTAGGCTGACTCCACGGCACTCACTCTAGCCTGGACAACAAAGCAAGACTCTGTCTCAAAAAAAAAAAAAAAACCCCTGCCTGCTCCTGGGGCAAATTGCTCACCCACTGAGTGGAGCAGGGATGGCAGTAATGGCCCTCTGGGACAGAGGAAGGACATGAATAAATGAGTTAATGACTGCAGGGACTGCCCGGTGCCTGGCCCGCCTGGCACAGCGGGACTGTGACTGAGCCAGAGCGTTGCCTTGGCCATCGGCTTGTCAGGCCCTGGGCACAGGGGTCGTCCGTGAGCTGCAAGAAGGTCCCTTGTACCAGGGCTCCTGCCTGGTTCTCTGTTCTGCCCACAGGCCTTCATTCCTGGTTATTTTTTCATTACAGTGTAACAAATATGCAGACAGACAACTTAAATATGGAAAGACATGAATCCTTTACTCACTAATGAATTAGTTCAATGCAATTCCAATAAAGATTCTGATTGATTTTATTTTTTAGATTCTCCAAAAACCTATTCTAAAATGTATATAGAAGAAAATAGGGCTCAAATAGCTAAGTCAACATTTGTTTTTTTTTTCCGGTGAAAAACTGCACAACAGAAGTGATTTTATCTAGTACAGTTCCGAGGTAGAAAAAGTGGAGCAGGCGGGGCCTTGCACCATTCCCTCCCCCATGGGGAGGTGGCGGTAGTGGCGCTTATACAATCATAGTAAATTGGCAGAAGAGAAACAACAGATTCCTTGCGGGAGGGGGCTAAGTCAACCTTAATGAAACAGGGCATAGAAGGAAGACTTGACCTCCAGATACAAAGATATTACAAAGCCAGAGTGGTAAATGCAACGTGGAGTCTGTGCAGGGATAGGATGGAAGATCAGTGGAACAGAACAGAGCGCTCAGAGGCAGACTCAAGTACACCTGAATTAAGGCGACTTAACTCATGATGAGGGGCGAGTGGTGTGATGATGGCGTTGGAAAATTGGCTCATTATATGGAGAAAAAGTAAAGCAAGATCTTCGCTCACCCACCATGCAGAGGTGGGCTCCCGTGGATTAAGGTTCTCAGTGGGGAAGCGAAACTATAAAGTCCATGCAGGAAAATATTTTTGTGACCCAGAGGGAAGGAAGAACTTCTCAAACCAAAATGCACAAGCACAAAAAACATCAGACAAAAAACTGACACATTTAATCACATCACCATTGAGGCCTTCTGTTTAATGAAGGGCACCCCGGACAGTGTTAACAGGCATGTGACAGAATGGGGGATGGTATTGGCAACATGTAAAACCAGAGGTTAACATCTGGAAGGCCTGCAAATCAAATAAAGGTATTTTCCTGATAAGGAAAAATGGGCCGAGGTTTTAAATACTCAATTTCAGAGGAGGAAACACCTAACACTCACACGTTGGCATGTGAAGACATATTTAAAATTGTTAGTCATCTGGGGGATGGTCATGCTGGAAACTCAGACTTGTGGAGGGAGGGGGGGAAAGGGCATTTATTGAAACCTTAAAATGTGTACCCCCATAATATGCCAAAATAAAAAAAAATTAAAAAAATAAAAATAAAATTGTTAGTAATCAGAGCGATGAACCTGGAAATGACAACAAGATCTCACCATAGACCTGTCCCACTGACAGACATTAGGAACCCAGAATGCCAAATGGCAGGGACGAGGACACTAGGGTCCCTTGGACATTGCAGGGATGGGGGAGCGTCTACACTGTTTTAGCTCCCTGGAGACAAACTCGGTCCCATAGCTAGCAGGCAGTCCTGCTCCTGTTGTTCATCCCAGAGAAATATTCTTGCAGGTCTAGACCCTTCTAGACCATGTCATGGCCGTGTGACATGCTCATGGTCCCGTAGCCAATGGCATGAGCAGCACTGTGGTGGAAGGGAGCTGGTGGCCAATCTGAGTGTCCTGTCCAGCCCAACCCGTGGCTGTAGTTGCCCCCAAAGCAGCTGCAGGGGCGTTTCCCCAGGGGCCAGCCTCGAACTGTCCCCCAGCTGGGGCCTGCTGGAATAGCACAGAAGCCCAGTCCAAGGCATCTGTTAGCCGAACTCACACACGGAGGGCTGTAGTGGTCTCATGACATGGAAAAGGCAGATACTCACAGTAGCTCACGCCTGTAATCCTAGCTCTCTGGGAGGCCGAGGCGGGCGGATTGCTCGAGGTCAGGAGTTCGAAACCAGCCTGAGCAAGAGCGAGACCCTGTCTCTACTATAAATAGAAAGAAATTAATTGGCCAACTAATATATACAGAAAAAATAGCGGCATGGGGCGCATGCCTGTAGTCCCAGCCACTCGGAGGCTGAGGCAGGAGATCGCTTGAGCCCAGGAGATTGAGGTTGCTGTGAGCTAGGCTGACGCCAGGCACTCACTCTAGCCTGGCAACAAAGCGAGACCTGTCTCAAAAAAAAAAAGAAAAAAAGAAGAGAGGAGAAGGAAGGAAGGAAGGAAAGGAAGAAGGAAGGAAGAAGGAAGGAAGGAAGGAAGGAAGGAAGGAAGAAGAAAGAAAGAAAGAAAGAAAGAAAGAAAGAAAGAAAGAAAGAAAGAAAGAAAGAAAGAAAGAAAGAAAGAAAGAAAAGGCAGATACCCTACCCAGGTCTGTCCGGGGCTCAGGGCGTGGAGTTTATACGAGGGCTTAGGGAATCCGGCTCAGGGCGGGGGACAGTTTCTACGTGTTTGATTTTTCCGGGTTTCGAGTAACAACCAGGACAACTTTACCAGTGCCTGGGCGTGGTCAAGGCCCCCCTTGAACACTTGGACACTGAGTGTCGTCACCGAAGGGCGGAGAGGTACTTAGTGTGGACCGACAGCAACTCGATGGATCTTAAAAGCACCGCCCGCAGCGAGACTATAAGGACCAGAAAGAGATAGTAACGCAGTATCATTTACATGTATTTAAAATATCAGCATGGAAAACAATACTGATTTAGGAAAAAATACATACATCAGAATGGTTGCCTGTGGGAGGTGGGAGTGAGAGTGGCTGTAGGGGGGAAATGAAATAAATAAATGTGTAAAGGGAATGAAATATTGCACAGGGAGAAAAATGTGCAGCCTGTCCTGCACCCTGCCATCCCAACATAGCTCCTGCCTTCCTTTACCTTCTTCCCTCCCTGCCTTCACCCCTGCAAATTCCCCACGGAAGTGATCACGGGCTGCCTCGTGCTGAGGCTGATGTTCACATGCGTCTCTCTCACGAGCTTTCCCCCAGTCTAATTTACCCTCCAGACTTTATTTTTCATGGCAGCATAATATTCCAACCGGAAGGGGAAGAGCAATCTTTGTTATTGGGAATTGAGATGATTCTGAAGTTTCCACCAATAATAGCAACTGCACAACCTTGTGAGGACATTGACAATGTTTCTCTGACCCCTCCTGGCACCCCCCAAGCCCCCTCAATCACACCTGCACAGGGCCCATGGATTCCTTCCTCCAAAAACAAAACAGTAAAAATTATATTTTCTGACTGCATTGGTACAAAAATGAATATAATCCAGGTGGACTCATAATTATTAATATATAGTCATTATTATTCTCTTCATTTTTTTCTTCTGAATTTTTTTTTAGAGAAGAGGTCTTGCTCTGTCACCTAGACTGGAGTGCAATGGCGAGATCATAGTTCACTGAGCCCCAAACTCCTGGGCTCATGCGATCCTTTGACCTCAGCCTCCCAAGTAGCTGGGAGGTGAGCACCACCATAGCTACTAATTTTTTAAATTTTTTGTAGAGATGGGGCCTAGCTATGTTGCTCAGTCTGGTCTCAAACTCCTGGTCTCAAGTGATCCTCTCACCTCAGCCTCCCAAAGCACTGGGATTACAGGCGTGAGCTACGATACCTGGCTTCTTCTGAATTTAAAAGAAATTAAAATTGAACATTTTTTTTTT